CCAGCAGCCTGGGGGGTGCTGCGCTGGCCGATCCGATCCACCCGCTCCCACCCTGCCGCCCCCCCCCCCCACCCCGCGGAGGTCCCAGGCTGCGGCGGGGTCGCGGACGGGCGGAAAGAGGGGGAGCAGAGTCGGGGGCCGCTGGGGAAGCCCAGCGACAAAAGAGGGACAAAAGAAGGCAGGGAGCGGAAGAGCCAAAAGCCTACAGCACCCGGTATTCCCAGGCGGTCTCCCATCCAAGTACTAACCAGGCCCGACCCTGCTTAGCTTCCGAGATCAGACGAGATCGGGCGCGTTCAGGGTGGTATGGCCGTAGACGCTGGCGGTGGCCTTTGGCTGCCCCAAAAGGCGGCCCGCAGCCACGCCCGCCCGACTCCAGGCGTCACCGCGAGCCCTGCCGGCCGGCTGGGCCGCTCTTCCACGCTATGCCCTGGCACCGCCGGCCGCCGCGCTGCGCCACGCTGCGCCGCGCCTTCCGTCGGCCTCTCGGAGCCTCCCGTCGTCGCCGGCGGGGACGACAGGGTCTGCGCCGAGCGCTCGGGGTCCCGGGGCTTCCTCCGGGGCCTCCGCCTTGCCGCCGCCGCCGCCGAGGGATACTTTTGGATCCGCCGCCGCCCCTCCGGCAAGGCCCCCTCGTGCCCCTGCCACTCAGAGCCGCCACGGCTGCCCAGGAACCCAGAGGCGGCCCAGCCCCGCGGGTTCTTTTTCTCCCAGCGCACCCACCACGCTCCCTGGTGCGGCTCAGGGGCCGGGGGGCGGGGCGGAGCCCTCGCTGTGTCCCGCGCTGGCGCTAGAGCCGGCAGCCTGACCCCGGGACCAGAGGGGCTGACGCACTCGCCCAAGGAGAGCAGAGGAGAGACGGGCGGAGAGACCGAAAGAAAGGGAGAGAAAGACAGAGAGTGACAGACGACAGCCAGAGCCGCAGAACGGGCGCCAGCTACAGGGGGCAGAACAGAAAGGGAGGGGGGGTGAGGCAGCTAGAGAGCCACAGCGATAGAGCCTTGGAGAGCCAGCGCTCTGCTCTGACGGACAGGGCCTCTTGGAGCAGGCCGGGGTGGGGTGGAGGCTGCTTGGGCTGGCTCAGGACGGGATGGCAGGGCCGCCCACGCGGGAGGACCGACGGCGCCCTGACACGCGTTTTTTCTCTTGGCTCGGTTGGGTGCGTTGGGTGCGCCTCTGCTAGGGTCCTTCCTCTGTTGGCTCCTCGCCGTCCACTGGCTGCGGTGGGCCCCGCCATCTGCAGGGAGACAGGGCCCGAGGCCTGCGTCTCTCTCTCCTGCCCTCGAGACTGGGGCTTAGGCGGAGTTGGCGGCGATGGGGATGCGGGCGCACAGAAACCGCTTTCCTGGTGGCTGGCGAAGGCGCTGTCCTTTTCCCGGGCACAGCAGCCCATGAGGTCTGGAGCAGAGGCCTTGGCTTGCGTCTGTGGGACCCGCTGGCCCTGCCCGCCTCTGCCTCTACCTACCCCGGGCGGGCTCCGGTCTCGGACGGTTGCGGCGGCGCCGGGTGAGTGAATTGCGTTCACCGGGCGTCCCGGGAGCGGGAAGACACCCTGGACGGCAGGGACCCCGGGCCTGCGCCTTGGGGGGTCGGGTCCCGGCCCTCGGTGCCCAGGCTGGAGCCCAGCTCCTGATGGGCGGCGGCCAGGCCGAAGAGGAGGCGTGCTGCTGCCCGGCCGCTGCTGGTGCCGGGCTGCGGCGGGGTCGCAGGCGGGACGGAAAACCGGGCGCTTGAGAAGCACGGCGACCGCAAAAAGGCCAGGGGCAGGCAGCGAAAAGCCGAAAGCCCACGGCACCCGGTGTTCCCCAGGCGGTCTCCCGTCCAGGTACTAACCAGGCCCGACCCTGCTTTGCTTCCGAGATCTGACGAGATCGGGCGCGTCCAGGGCGGCATGGCCGTAGACGCCAGCAGCGGGCCCCTGGCTGCCCCACGAGGCCGGCGCAGCCACGGCCGCCCGACGCCAGGCCTCACTGCCACCGCCTGGCCGCGGGGCTCGGGTCGGGGACCCCCCGAGCCGCTCGCCCGCTGCCGGGCTCGGCCGCTCTCCGGGTCTACCGCCCCAGCTCGGCCCCGACGCGGGGCTCCGCTTTCCTGCGGCCTCCCCACGCCTCCCGATTTCGCTTGTCTTCGTCGTCACGACGGCCGGGCTCCTGATCCCAACACAGGGGCCGAGGGACACCCAGAGGGCCCCGCCGACTCCAACAACGCCACCACCACCGCCGCCGCCGCCACCGCCACCGCCACCACGACGAACACAACCCCACCCCTCCCACACACAAACACACACGAGCCCACTGGCACGAGCACCCACGCAGGCCCAGGCACAGGCACGTAGACACAGACAGCTCGAAGGAGAGCCAGCGAGCGAGGGAGGGAACGGTGGAAACGGACACACGCGGAGAGACAGCGATACGGAGAGAGACGGAGAGGACCAGGAGGATGGAGACAGAGACACACAGACAGACCCAAGGGTGGGCCAGAAAGAGCGCAAGGTGGAAGGGGAAGACAAGAAAGAGAGACGCTGAGGGAATCAGAGAGCCAGAGCGCTTGAGCCTTGGAGAGGGAGCACTCTGCCGTGGTGGACCCGGCTCCCCGGAGCAGGCCCGGTAGGGTGCAGGGAGCTTGGGCTGGCCCCGAACAGAGTGGCAGGGCCGCGCGGGTCCGGGAGGACCGACGGAGCCCTGGGACGTGTTTTTCCGCGGCTGGGTTGGTTGCTTGCTTTGGGGGGTGCGTCTCGTAGGGTCCTTCCTCTGTTGGCTTCTCCCCGTCCTCCTGGTGCGGTGGGCCACCCCGGCCCCCACCCCCACCCCCGCCCCCAGATATGTAGCGCGCACCCGTCGGTCCGGCGGGAGGCGTGGCGCCCAGCGTGCCCACGGGGCCCGGGGCCTGGACCTCTCCGGTGCGCTCGGGACTAGAGTTTACACGAAGTGGGTGGCCGCGGGAATCCAAGCGCACGGGGACGATTTTCCCGGCGGCTGGCCAAACGGAAGAAGGAACCCAGGCGTTCTGGAGCGGAGGTCTCGGCTGGCGTCTGTGGCACCCGCTGCCCCCTGGCCGCCCCGGGCTTGGGGCGGCGCCGCGTGGGTCACTTGAACTGCCCGGGCGTCCCGGGAGAAAGAAAGCACCCGACGGGGCAGGGAAGCGGCGCCTGCCTGCGGATTCGGAGGTGGGGGTCGGGTCCCGTCCCTCCCGGCACCGGCGGAAGAGGCGGTAGACGCTGCCAGCAGCCTGGGGGGTGCTGCGCTGGCCGATCCGATCCACCCGCTCCCACCCTGCCGCCCCCCCCCCCCACCCCGCGGAGGTCCCAGGCTGCGGCGGGGTCGCGGACGGGCGGAAAGAGGGGGAGCAGAGTCGGGGGCCGCTGGGGAAGCCCAGCGACAAAAGAGGGACAAAAGAAGGCAGGGAGCGGAAGAGCCAAAAGCCTACAGCACCCGGTATTCCCAGGCGGTCTCCCATCCAAGTACTAACCAGGCCCGACCCTGCTTAGCTTCCGAGATCAGACGAGATCGGGCGCGTTCAGGGTGGTATGGCCGTAGACGCTGGCGGTGGCCTTTGGCTGCCCCAAAAGGCGGCCCGCAGCCACGCCCGCCCGACTCCAGGCGTCACCGCGAGCCCTGCCGGCCGGCTGGGCCGCTCTTCCACGCTATGCCCTGGCACCGCCGGCCGCCGCGCTGCGCCACGCTGCGCCGCGCCTTCCGTCGGCCTCTCGGAGCCTCCCGTCGTCGCCGGCGGGGACGACAGGGTCTGCGCCGAGCGCTCGGGGTCCCGGGGCTTCCTCCGGGGCCTCCGCCTTGCCGCCGCCGCCGAGGGATACTTTTGGATCCGCCGCCGCCCCTCCGGCAAGGCCCCCTCGTGCCCCTGCCACTCAGAGCCGCCACGGCTGCCCAGGAACCCAGAGGCGGCCCAGCCCCGCGGGTTCTTTTTCTCCCAGCGCACCCACCACGCTCCCTGGTGCGGCTCAGGGGCCGGGGGGCGGGGCGGAGCCCTCGCTGTGTCCCGCGCTGGCGCTAGAGCCGGCAGCCTGACCCCGGGACCAGAGGGGCTGACGCACTCGCCCAAGGAGAGCAGAGGAGAGACGGGCGGAGAGACCGAAAGAAAGGGAGAGAAAGACAGAGAGTGACAGACGACAGCCAGAGCCGCAGAACGGGCGCCAGCTACAGGGGGCAGAACAGAAAGGGAGGGGGGGTGAGGCAGCTAGAGAGCCACAGCGATAGAGCCTTGGAGAGCCAGCGCTCTGCTCTGACGGACAGGGCCTCTTGGAGCAGGCCGGGGTGGGGTGGAGGCTGCTTGGGCTGGCTCAGGACGGGATGGCAGGGCCGCCCACGCGGGAGGACCGACGGCGCCCTGACACGCGTTTTTTCTCTTGGCTCGGTTGGGTGCGTTGGGTGCGCCTCTGCTAGGGTCCTTCCTCTGTTGGCTCCTCGCCGTCCACTGGCTGCGGTGGGCCCCGCCATCTGCAGGGAGACAGGGCCCGAGGCCTGCGTCTCTCTCTCCTGCCCTCGAGACTGGGGCTTAGGCGGAGTTGGCGGCGATGGGGATGCGGGCGCACAGAAACCGCTTTCCTGGTGGCTGGCGAAGGCGCTGTCCTTTTCCCGGGCACAGCAGCCCATGAGGTCTGGAGCAGAGGCCTTGGCTTGCGTCTGTGGGACCCGCTGGCCCTGCCCGCCTCTGCCTCTACCTACCCCGGGCGGGCTCCGGTCTCGGACGGTTGCGGCGGCGCCGGGTGAGTGAATTGCGTTCACCGGGCGTCCCGGGAGCGGGAAGACACCCTGGACGGCAGGGACCCCGGGCCTGCGCCTTGGGGGGTCGGGTCCCGGCCCTCGGTGCCCAGGCTGGAGCCCAGCTCCTGATGGGCGGCGGCCAGGCCGAAGAGGAGGCGTGCTGCTGCCCGGCCGCTGCTGGTGCCGGGCTGCGGCGGGGTCGCAGGCGGGACGGAAAACCGGGCGCTTGAGAAGCACGGCGACCGCAAAAAGGCCAGGGGCAGGCAGCGAAAAGCCGAAAGCCCACGGCACCCGGTGTTCCCCAGGCGGTCTCCCGTCCAGGTACTAACCAGGCCCGACCCTGCTTTGCTTCCGAGATCTGACGAGATCGGGCGCGTCCAGGGCGGCATGGCCGTAGACGCCAGCAGCGGGCCCCTGGCTGCCCCACGAGGCCGGCGCAGCCACGGCCGCCCGACGCCAGGCCTCACTGCCACCGCCTGGCCGCGGGGCTCGGGTCGGGGACCCCCCGAGCCGCTCGCCCGCTGCCGGGCTCGGCCGCTCTCCGGGTCTACCGCCCCAGCTCGGCCCCGACGCGGGGCTCCGCTTTCCTGCGGCCTCCCCACGCCTCCCGATTTCGCTTGTCTTCGTCGTCACGACGGCCGGGCTCCTGATCCCAACACAGGGGCCGAGGGACACCCAGAGGGCCCCGCCGACTCCAACAACGCCACCACCACCGCCGCCGCCGCCACCGCCACCGCCACCACGACGAACACAACCCCACCCCTCCCACACACAAACACACACGAGCCCACTGGCACGAGCACCCACGCAGGCCCAGGCACAGGCACGTAGACACAGACAGCTCGAAGGAGAGCCAGCGAGCGAGGGAGGGAACGGTAGAAACGGACACACGCGGAGAGGCAGCGATACGGAGAGAGACGGAGAGGACGAGGAGGATGGAGGACAAGGATGATGGTTCAAACTGCGAACCTCAGGTGATCCTCCCGCCTCAGCCTCCCAAAATGTTGGTGTTTCTGGCATGCGCCACTTCGGCCATCCCTCCATCCCTTTCTTTATGGCAGTTAACAAGGTAGGTAAATTGTCTTCTTTTTAATATTTTGTCTGTTTCCTTGTTGATTTTCTGTCTTCCCACCAAACTCTGACTTCTATGATTTTTATCCTTCTTATTTGCTCTTAATATACTTTCTGGCACAATGTTAGTGCTCAGTAAGTTCTTCTTTTTTTAAGAGACAGGGTGTTGTTATGTCACCCAGTCTGGAGTGTGGTGACTATTTAACTGGCATGCTCCCAACTCACTGCAACCTCAAACTCCTGGGCTCAAACAATCCTCTTGCCTCAGTATCCTAAGAAGCTGGCACTACGGGCATACCATCACATCTGACTAACTGAAAAAAAATTGCTATATATAAAGTCTTGCTATGCTGCCCAGGCTACTCTTGAACTCCTTGACTCAAGGGATCCTCCAGCCTCAGCCTCCCAAAGTGCATGGAAATGATTACACATGCTGGAAATGGCTCAGCTTTGTCCTCAAACAAATGGTTATTGGTTGTAAGCGAACTTATTATATGTTTAGTTCCAAAAGAAAAAATAATAAAATAACTTGTACAAAATGCTGGAGATATATCTTCAAAGATTTTTGTCTACAAATTATGAAGGAAATGAAGACTTCATGTTAATTATAAACCGAGAATTAAAGTAAATAAATGCATTGACAAACATACCAAGTCTTTGGAACTATTGATAAGAATACAGCTTATTACAGATCGTTTCTTTAAGAGACTATATGGGGTTTGATTTTCCTTTGACAACATTTTCAAAAAAGTTGATGGTACAAGACCATTAAAGTCACTATCACTATCTCCTGCTGAAGCCCCAGTCAAATCTTAACCCCACCCCACTTAGTCACTTGCAAAAATCACTTACAATTAAAACCAAGTTCTTAACTGTTGCTCCGGGTAAGAGAGACAATTAGAAATTGAGGAAAGAAAGAAATCACTTTAGAGTAATAAGAAACTGGTCGGGCATGATGGCTCATACCTGTAATCCCAGCGATTTGGGAGGCCCAGGCAGGTGGATCATGAGGTCAAGATTTCAAAACCAGTCTGGCCAACATGATGAAACCTTGTCTCTGGCCAAAAATTAGCTGGGCATGGTGGCAGGCACCTGTAATCCCAGCTACTTGGGAGTTTGAGGCAAGAGAATTGCCTGAACCCTGAAGGTGGAGATTACAGTGAGCCAATATCACACCATTGCACTCAAGCCTGGGCAACAAGAGCGAAACTCTGTCTCAAAAAAAATAAAAATAAAAATAAAAAATAAAAAATAAAAAATTAGCCAGGAGTAGTGTATACCTGTAATCCCAGCTCGGGAGGCTGAGGCAAGAAAATTGCTCAAACCAGGGAGGTGGAGGTTCAAGATTACACCACTGTACTCCAGCTGAGCAAAGGAGTGAGACTCCATCTCAGAAAAAAAAAATTAATAATAAGGAATTAGCACACTCCTGTGGTCCCAGTTACTCAGGAGGCTGAGGTGGTAGGATCGCTTGGGCCAAGGAGGTTGCAGCTACAGTGAGCTATAATCATGCCTGTGAATAGCCCCTGCACTCCAGCCTGGGTGACATAGCAAGACCCTGTCTGAAAAGAATAAGGAGCTTTGAAGGTTATGTGTGTGTGTGTGTGTGTGTGTGTGTGTGTGTGTGTGTGTGTGTGTTTTGAGACACAGTCTCATTTTGTTGCCCAGGCTTGTATGCAATGACCCAATCTCAACTTACTTTCCACCTCCCAAGTTCAAGTGATTCTCCTGCCTCATCCTCCTGAGTAGCTGGAATTACAAGTGCATGCCACCACGTCCAGCTAAATTTTGTATTTTAAGTAGAGACAGGATTTCATCTTGTTGGCCAGGCTGGTCTCTAACTCTGGATTTCAAGTGATCCACCCACCTTGGCCTCCCAAATTGCTGGGATTACAGGTGTGGGCCACCATACTGGCCTATTATTTTTGAGACAGAGTCTTGCTCTGTCACTCAGCCTGTTGTGCAGTGGCACCATCATGGCTCACTGTAGCCTCTGCCTCCCACACTCAGACAATCCTCCAACCTCAGCCTCTCAAGTAGCTGGTACTATAGGTGCACACCACCACACCCAGCTAATTTTTAGGTTTTTTGTTTTTGTTGAGACAAGGTTTCACCATGTTCACCAGGCTGGTCTTGAACTCCTGGGCTCACTCAGTCCTCCCACCTGGACCTCCAAAAGTACTGGGATTGCTGGCATTAGCCACTGTGCCCAGCAAAGGGTTCTTCTTTTAAAAATACATATGGTAGTCTGGGTGTGGTGGCTCATGCCTGTAATCCCAGTGCTTTAGGAGTCTGAGGTGGAGGATCACCTGAGTCCAGGAGTTACAGAACAGTCTAGGCAATATAGTGAGACTTATCTCTACAAAAAAATCTAAGAATTAGTTGGGTGTAGGGACCCATGCCTGAAGCCCCAGCTACTCCAGAGACTTAGGAGGGAGGATTATGTATAGTGACCCATGCCTGCAGTCCCAGCTACTCTAGAGGCTGAGGAGGGAGGATTGCTTGAGCCCAGAAGGTTGAGGTGGTGGGAATCTGAGTTACCAGCTGCAAACTCACTGGTAACAACCCCAGCTGCTTTTACATCAAGTTCCACTCACCCTGGAAGCTGACCAGTAATGGTGCTTAACAGGCTGCCTAGAAGAGTCTCTAGGGTGCTCTCTAGGGGTCAAGAGCTGGTATAACCTCTTAGAGGACAGGAACTTGGTAAAGGTTACTGAATGAATGAATCCAACCAGACTGTCTCAGAATATGACACTCAAGTAGGTATCTAATCTTCCCCATTGTGTAGACAGCATGATCCGCTCTGAAAGCTGGAGAAAGTACCTGGTGGCTTGAAGGTTTCAAAGGTCATCAATCCAGTGGCCTTCTGATTTGAATGGTCTCCCTCCACTGTCTTTCCCCATTCTCTGCTCCATTCAGCTCACTGGGCCATTAGCTCCCCCTCCCTCTAGCATTGATAGCCCCTTGCCCCCAGGGTCCAAGGATGAAACAGATATTGTACTTCCGGTGATACAGTCCAGGAAGGCTCAAGAGGAGATGTCATGTGGTTAAAGCATCCCATGAAAGTGGCTGGGAAATCCTGGTCCTGTTCTACTTCTATGGTGGAAAGTTTACTCCTACATTCACTGAACAAACCAGATTGTTCCTCTCTTGCTTATAAGAAGTCGACAGGTCTGTTCAAATTTATTCTACAAATACTTATTCAGCATTTACCATATTCCAGGTACCATGCTAGGTATTAGTGATATTGCATCTACAGCTTTGGGGGTAGGAGACATTAATTAAATGCATGCACACAGATGTAATTAAACTGACTGTTTGCTATGAGGGAAGAGCATGAGAATTTTTAGAATAGAAGCCTGGAGGATCTGTTATCTACAGGTCTGGGAAGCTTCCCTGAGGAAGTGATGCTGAGCTGCCCATCCAAGGGTCAATAGAGTGAAATGAACAGAGGGGGCGATAAGGAAGAGCATGCTTGGTAGAAGGATCTGTGAAGAAGCAAAGTCCTGAAGGCGAGGAAAGCTCGTGGTGTTTGGAGTGCGGAAAGACCTGGATGCTGATGTGAGAGAGGGTGGGGAGGAAGGGCTCTGGATGAAGGGGTTGCTGGACTCGGCAGGTCGGGACTGTGGTAGGGATTTAAGCTAAACAGATTTAAACAGGCTGCTAAATGGAGAATGGATTGAGGGAGGCGAAAGCATTCAGAGAGGAGGCAGAGGAGTGGTTTTGACTTGGAGAAAGGGAAGTGGATGGATCTAAGGAGCATACTGGATTTGGAATTGAAAGGACTTGATGAAGGATTGGAGGCGGAGGACTCCCAGGATTCTGGCTTGCACACGTCTCTCTTTCCCACTTACAACAAATGACCCTTTACAGTCACGTCCTGTTGTGATGACCTGCTTTTTGCCAGCTAAAACTAACTGTTTTTCTCAGGATAAAAGCTGTTCAGGCTTTATGTTAGCTTCTTGAGCAGGAGAGACTCCATCTTAGCTTCTTCATTTTAGCTATTTTCCCACCATTAAGTATGTAACTATAGTATGTAGCTGGGGCAGGCTGACATTGGGCACCTCCAGGAATGCGTTTGTTGATAATAGGCCGAGTTAAGGGGTACCAGCACAGCCTGGGAATGCAGGTGCTGTCCAGCGCACAGACCCCCCATTATCTATAAGTTGTATGTCTTTCATGATGGCTTTACCCCTCTGACACTGTTTTATTTCTCATGTACTAGTTTATCTTTTAACATTTTGCTTACTCTGCTTTTGTGAAAAATTTGCTTCAGCTAGGTTACCCCTCCCTTTTAAAACTAGGATATAAAAGACCACCTAACTTTT